TGGACTAAAGAGTAAACAGTTTTTTAATAGACTTTTATATTGGGAGTAGAATATTAACACAGATCTGTGCTGTATTAATTTCGTGATGGCTGAGAGATAATGCTTATATGGTAAAGTTTACCTTGAGTACACACACACATATTTGTGTTAATGTACATATACTTTTCTAAAAGTGTATAGTAAATCTTCTAAGGTCAAATTCATAAAAAAACAAAAAACTGGGGATGTAGTTTAGTGGTATAATGCTTGCTTAGTGTGCACAAAGACTTGGGTTCCATCCCCAACACCACCAAACCAAACCAAAACAGAAACCCCACAAAAGTTACCATTGTTTGGTGTTAGAATGTCATTATCTTCAGTAGAGCTTCATATCTACACAATGACACAGAGGACTGTGAGCCCCCGATACTAAGAACTAGAAAAAAGGAACTTACAAAGCCAGAGCCTGAAATTTGGTCTGAAGCTGTGATCCCCGATATCAAGTGATTGTTGTGCAACTGGAAAATCCTGTAGCTTAGAGTCTGGACAATTTCCAGTAATCAAAACCTCAAAGCAATTCACAGTGTTATCATGCCTTTTCATTTATGAGTGAAAGGAGCGATTCCTCATTTCTTGTAAGTCTTTTATGTTGACAGTCCCATCCTTAATTAAAAAGGCATTGGTATTTTCATTATGAAAATGGTTTTCCTGGATTTATTGCTGAGTCCATTAATTTCATGGTTTAAAACTGATTGATGTTAGCCTGTGTAGTTACTTTTATAACAAAAGCAACTTACAATTGATTTTGGAGCATTTTGATTTTAAAGATAATTTCAGGCATCTCTTTCATCTGTGTCAGACCTACAATATGGATGGACTAAGTTCTGGAGAAGTAAGGAATAAATGCAGTACATTTCACTTCAAAAACAGAGAGCCATTGCCATTCACTATTTAAGGGACTTGAGGACAGCCTGAGTAGAAACTTTCTCTATTAACCCCAGTTTGGCCTTGCCCTATGCTCTTTGTGAAACGTTCCCTAATCATTCAAGGCAAGTGACTCTGCTTTCTCTGAATGCCTGCAGTCTAAACTGACAGCACCAAATGTTTATCTTCAAGGTGTTTCCTCCTCCCCTCCCCCCAGTACTGAAGATTGAACCAGAGCCTCTGGCTTGCTAGACAAGTGCTCTACTACTTGAGTTGCACCTCCAGTGTTGTCCCCCCAGCCCCCACAGATAGGTCCTGTGATAACTTTGCCTGGCTGGCCTCAGGCTGTGTTCCTCCTGTCCCTACCTCCCTAATACTTGGGACCACAGCGGTGTTTCACTACTCCCAGACCATCTTCAAGTTTTGGTCTTTCTTTGTGCCTGTATCTTAATACACTTAAAGATCATTATAGGTTAAGGACTACAGGTTTTTAGTTAAGTCTTCATAAGTTAAAGATGCTAAAGGCAAAGTCTGTGGCTTTATGTAACTTTGATCTCTGAGCTCCCATTTATAAAGAAAGGATTGACTAATAAAACTCTAAAAAATTACATAAGGAAACTCTAGCCATGTATTACCATATCTCTTTAAATATATTGCATTGTTGTCTGGGGTCACGTGTATTAAGGTATAAAAAATTAGGTTGGCACACAAATATGGCATACCATTTGTTTTTCTAGATTCTTAAAAGTCCTGGTGAACAGACTTTTTTTTTAAACAAATTAATATTACTGTGACATTTGCCTCTTCATTAGTTATTAGCATAGGAAAAAACCTTTTGAATATAAGCCAAACCTTTAAAAGTCACTAATAAAGTATCTTGAGCTGCAGTCCTTTTGAGTTATGGGATTTCTTAAAAATACCTTAAAAGACACGTGGGGTGATCCGAGTCCTGAAAAAGGAAATAGGAAACCTGTTGCAGTCCTGGCTCAAGTCGATTCACAGGTGAACCTGATTTAGTTAAAGTACCATGAACCCCAATTTCTTCAGGTGCCGAATGAGCCCTTCAGCATCATAGCAGTCATTGTGACTTTGATCCACTTATGAATTTGCTGGGTGCTTGTCTCCACATGGTGTTAGTTGATGCACATCTATTTATTTTATTAGGTTGCTAGGACTGCCTTAACACACTATCACAGACCAGATCATTAAGCAGCAGACATTTATTTTCTCACAGTTCTGGAAGGCCAAGATCAAGACATCAGCCTGTTTGGGTTCGTCTGAGGTCTCTCTCCTTGCCTGCAGACACCTGCCCTCTCTGTGTCCCCACATGGTCTTTCCTCAGTGTCACACACTCACAGTGTCTCTTTCTGAGTTCAGATTTCCTCTTTTAAGGATGCCAGTCTGATTGGAAGAGGGTCCATCTTAATACCCTCATTTTAACTTAATCTCTCTTTAAAGGCCCTATCTTCAAATGTAGTTACATCCTGAGATAGTGAGGGTTGGGACTTTAATGTATAAAGTTTGGAAGTCACAATTCCATAACATCTATTTAAAACAACAATGATTTCTTTTCAATTATACCCGGAGAGACTAGAATAAAGAAGAAACCCATAGTAGCCCTCTACCTTAACATCTGTTATTAAAAGTGGGAGGAGGCAGGTACACGCAATCAGATGATTCAAACTCTGTTGAAACATATTACATGAAAAATGCCTTTTCCTAACCATCTCCTACACTAGGCAACTTCTTTAAAAACATTCATAAGTGTTTATTATACAGAGGCCAGGTGCAATTTTCTTCATGTATTAACGTATCAGAGGGAGCACAAATCTCTTTATCTGCTCACTGATTGGCCTTTCAAATGGCTCTGTAGAAGGGCTGGAGAAGTGGTTTAAGTGGTAAAGTGCCTGCTTTGTAAGTGCAAAGCCCTGGGTTCAAACATCAGTACTGAAAAAAAAAAAAAAGTCTGAGTGGAATGGAGTAACTATCATATGGAAGTCCCTGGTGCATATGTTAGATTTTTAACTAGTCACCTATTAGTGGGCATTTCAGTTATTTCCATGTCCACCCCTGCTACCAGCCCCCCACCCCAACCAGTTACAGTGATGTTGGAGTCCTTTTAAAAACCCAAGATGGAAAGAATAGTGATGAGCCACCTACTAAAATCAACTAGCCTCTTATTTCAGTGAAAATAGTCTGTTTTTCAGCGTCCTGATTATTGTTTATTAGAATTGTTCTGAAAGGTATTTCAGTCTCTTTGACCTCTCTTCTCCTATGCCCCCAGTATCTGAGCATAAGCCCTTCTGTCTTTTTCCTCCCTGTATAATGAAGGGAGGAGCTTTCTTTGGCCAAGTGAGGTTACCTTTGCCTTGCATTCCTGCTCAGGAAAAAGGGTCTGTCTGAATCATTCACAGGCATAGCCTATTTTTAGTTAAGTAAAACAGTTTTTCTTATAAGAATTGCTGTTTCCTTGCCCATGAGGGCACATGAATCCTTTCTGGCTGTTTCCACCTTTTGGCGAGGGGCCAGCTTTCTAATGGAATGTGAGCAGTCTTGCTGCTAATCAAGATTTACAGCAGAGACCTGGATGCCCAGCCGCTCATTGGATTTGCAGGCCCTCCCAAACTAACGGTGTGACTCTGAGATTTAGTGCAGTAAAGAGCTATGGTCCAGTTCCAGGCCCTCCCTCCTTCCCCAGGCCTGCCTCTTAGCCACAGGTATCATCTGGCATTATTTTATAAGCTGTGCCACGGTGCAGATGTTCTTTTCTGAAGAATTACTTTCATTTCTGACTCATTTCAGGAAATGAGGCAGTCCATCAGAGATATTCTTCATTTCTAGGCCCTTGGAGAGTTCATTTTCACCTGGCTTTCTAACCACATGTGGGCAGTACTTTATTTACTTAGATGTGAGAAATACCAGTAATGAAAGGTCCTCTTCTAAAGCAGCCTTTACTTCCTGCAGAATCCCACGGAAGTTTGTGAAGGCCCAGAGGTAGCTTATGCCCTTACTAATGCAAATATTTCCGAGGCTTTGGTTTTGTGATGCTTGTGGACATGCTGTGTGTATGGGCTGTGGTGCAGGAAAAATGTAATTTAGCAACAGATTTAAAAGGTAGTCTGCAGTGTTTCTAATTACTGTTTGTTTAGTTCAACATTGCCTAATAAGTGGATTTAAGTAATCCCAGGGGTAGGGAATGTAATGTTCAGATTACAGTCAGCCATGCAAATCAAATTCTGACTTAAGTAGTGCAGAGAACACACCATGGAGTCATTTTATAGAAGTATTCCATAGAATCTTAAATTAGAATGGAATGCATTTTAGGATGGGCATTTCCCACTGGTCATGCATCAACATGAATGATACAGACATCCAAAGTCAACCTACTGTGTGGTACAGTCCCATTTAAAAATCCATTGGTGGCCTCTGGCATTCTGTTCTCTTTTTAATTTGACATAGGAATGAAGGAAGGAGAAACTTAGGTACTTCTCCTTCCCTTCCCCATCCTTTCCCCATCCTTCCTTGGCTGTGATAAGAACCTGGAGTTCCAACAGGATCTGGAACAGTATTTGTCAACCTTGGGTGCAACTTGGAATGTGCCTTGGAACTTTAAAATTACTCACGCCCAAACCTATCCCCAGAGACTCTGCTTTAATTGTTTGGAATACAGTCTGCAGTGGGCCTTCCAAACTCTCCCTGAAGGATAATAATATTGTACGCCAAGCACTAAGGTAGCAGGAACTTGAGAGAGCATCTTATGTGGCGATTCTGATCCCTGGTTGCAAACTAACATCACCTGGAGACACACTGATGGCTCTATCAATTAAAACCACATTTCTGGAGGAGAAAGCCAGGACTTTTACAAAGCTCTCAGGAGGTTCTGATGCCCATGGAGTTCAATCAACTGATCTAACCATTCCATATCATAAACAAAGAAAAATGAGACCCATGAAGGTCAAATGACTGTTGAGGTCAGACCCTATGGTTGAGAGGTGGATCTGGGACTCAGGGCCCATGGCTCCTACTTGTGTGTCTGTTGCCTGACACCATCCCTTATGTTTGTCTATTGTATTTATTGATGCCTCCTCATCCTTCAGGTGATGTTGCTGCCTCCAGGAGGCCTTTTCTGACTCCTCATATTCTCCTCCCATCCAGCGTGGGTAAGATCCCCTTCGTTTGTATTTGAACAGTGTCTTGACTTCTTCCTTCCTCAGACTCACTTCAGAGAAGACAGAACCACTGCTTTCTTGTTAACTCACTGGCATAAAATAGGGTCCCAGATAACATTTGCTGAGTTGGACTTCCTTAACTTTTAACTGATCATTTAATCTGTATGGGTTGCTAAAAATAGTCCATTTCAGTATGCTAGTTTCTGAAAATAGCTTTTGAAAGCAAAATTTAGTTTCTACCTGTTTACTGAATTGTGGGTTGGGATACTGAAAAGAACAACTTCCATCCCACTTTACAGAAGAGAAAGTTTTGGCATAAAAAAAGTTTGGCAAGGGGTTTTTTATTGCAAAATAATGAAAACAAGATTTCAGTGATCTTATATGCTTCTCAAGGTGCTTTGAGTAACATATTGACAAGTACATGGATGTAGTGAAAGGGAACGTGTGGCACTACCTAATGACACAAAAATTGTCTGAAGAAAATAAACCTATTTCATGAAAGTGTGTATTAAAGACTAAGTTATTTTTTATTCATAATGAATATATAACTCTGAGTGCACACTGTATAGCTGCATTAAATTCTTTGGGTTCTTTGGATTAATGTATTGAAGTCTTTTTGAATGTTAAAAACAAATTTTCTTTTGTCATTCCAGTTTACTTAGTATCATGCTTGGTCAGTGTCTTCTTCTTGTTTGAAATTATTTCCAGATTTGCAGTGTTTATGTTTACTCTTGTAGCGGTCACAGAGATTTGTCTCAAGAAGCAGGATTGCAGCTAACATCTCCTTAGCCTGAAGGTGGCTCAGAGGCTTCATGTAGGTATGATAGATGATGATTTTCTGGCAAGGACAATTCAGAGCTAAAATATTTTAGATCCAGGACTGCAGAGTGGCCTGTGCTGTGGTGTGCAGTAGACCCCAACATGTTCAGTTGTGCAGACATGAGAAAGTAATGACCACATGTAGAGAACCACTTTGAAATCCTAACAGGACTTTATAGGTTCATGCTTTACAATCAAGGCCTACCATATCCCAGGGTAAATGAAGCCACCATACGTCAGGGAAAATGTTCCTAAAACAAATGTTCCTAAAAATTTCATGAGGAAGCAAAGTAATTCAGCTGGAGGTAAATGTAAAACATTTTTATATTAAGTAATTCTTAGTATATTGTGCAAAATGCATATTTTCATGACTTTTTAAAGATTAAACATGAAAATTTGAAGAACTACCTCTTTGCAGGCTTTTTAAAAAAATTTTTTGGGTGAAAAATTTAACAAACTAATAAAAGCCTATTGGTGAGTAACTAACTTCAGTCATCCTAACTTCACATGCTAGTAGGACATCCTAGAAGGAGAGAGGGAAAAAACAAGAGTGTATTAAATATGTAAGGCACAGTGTTTACCATTTCTATCTCAGTGTGCCATCATATCCTTGTAACTGCCCTTCAAGTTAGGACTTCTTCACTCCAGGATTTATAAGAGAAGAGGTATTTACCTGTTCACTAGGGAGCATAGCCAAAATTTGAACCCACATTTGTCTGATTGCAGAGACCTTGTGTCTTTGTCCTGTTGTGGCATGAGAATAGAGAGGTCTCCAAAAGAGACTTATTAACTATGAGCATTTACTGTGTGGGGTGGGGGTGGGGTGAGGGGTGGTGGGGTGGAGAAGGGATAGGGAGGGCTGGCTTTAGCTTCACTTGGAGCTCTTATCAAACATGAATATGTTGACAAGAGATAGTAAGTGTTGGCGAGAGTGTGGAGAAAAGGAAAGCCTTATGGGAATGTAAATTATCCAGCCATTGTGGAAAATAGTATGGAAGTTCATAGGAAAAACAAAAAGTAGAACTTTCATATGATTGGACAAGTCCCTTTCTGGATATATACCCAAAGGAAGTGAAAAAATATCTTGAAGAGATACCCATACCCCCACATTCATTGCAGCCATGTTCATAATAGCCAAAACACAGAAACAGTCTGTCTATTGATGAAAGGATAAAGAAATTGTGCAGTATATACAATGGAATATTATTCAGCCACAAAAAGGAGGAAATCCTGGTATTTGTGACATCACAGATAAATCTAGAGGACATTTTGCAAAATAAAATAGGCCTGACAAAGAAAGACAAATACTACATGATCTTAAGTATATGCAGGATCTGAAAAAGTTAAACTTGTAAAAGCAGAGAGCAGAACAGTGGTTGCCAGGGACTGGGAGGAAGGGAAATAAAGAGATGAGGGGTAGGATATAGCAGGTAAATTAAGGATTTATGAGTTCTGAGAACCTAATGTAGAGTATGAGTAGTAATGGATGTGTTAATTAATTTGATTGTGATAATCATTGCACAGCGCATATGTGTATCAAGTCACATTGTACACCTTGAATATATTCAATCTTTGTCAATTTTTTGTTGTTGTTTTAAGACAGGGTCTCACTACAGGCCCCAGGCTGGCTTCAAACTCATCCTCCTGCCTCAACTTCCCAACCACTGGGATTATATAGGTGTGTACCACCACAGCCATCTTGTCAATTAAAAATTTTAAAAGGGAAGAAAGAATAGCCAATTTTGGTCAAATGTCATATAGTCTCATAATTCTGTGATCTGACTCTGAGAAGCTATGTGTTGGGTTTCAGGGAAGCAACAAAGCAAATGGCCAATAAATTGTAAGTTTCCATGAGATTCATAGATCTTTTGAGGCTGTGAGTTGGGAAAATGGTAACACCTATAAAGTGGTTCTGCCCTATCCTAACAAATCTGTTTCTCTTTGCTGTGAGACTGGTCTGTTTCCCATTTGTGAGGCCTCCCAGCAAAGCCTTTTCCTTGGTTTCACATGCCTGGGGTCTCCTGGAGTACTTCCTGGAGACTCCTAATGGAGGCTTGCCATGGGCAAGCATGAGGCATCCTTAGAGTTAAACAATGGCTTTTTAAACAAGCCAAGGGCTACTATTTCCATCATGTAGTGTGAATTCACTTCTGGGTAAGGAATGTTTTCATAGAGCACTGCTCATCATAAGTCACAGCAGCTCTTGGTACTCTCTTGGAGCATGAGCTTATTTCCGCACCATTGGGCTGGGTTCCTTCCTGAAATTCTTACTTGTTCTGGCTACGTGATGTTATTCCATTTACATTCTACTCACAACTCACTTGTTTTCCATTCTCATTGTCTTCTGGCCCAGGGCTTAGTGCTCTGACCTTTTCCCTATCTCAGTTTGCTCCTTAGCTGATCCCAGTCATTAGGTACCATCTGTGTGTTGATGACTTCTACTTACCTGTCTCTATTCCCTACTTCTGCCTTGCTTATGGCCACCTGCTCGACCTCTTCACTTAGTTGTCTCATTCATACCTCAAACTTAACATATCCAAAATCAAATTCCTGATTAGTTTTCTGAACCTACACTTCCTGCATTGTTTCTCATCTCAGCTTTGACTCTACCTAATTTCTCAGGCCACAAACCTGAAGTCATCCTTGATTCCTCCCTTTCTTTTACCCTCATATTCTGTACATTAGCATTTATGTAAAATCCAGGGACTTCTAATCCCATGCCTTCACACCTGTATTTGAGCCTAGGCTATCACCAAGTCTTGTTGAAACTTCTGCTTTCACTTCTTAAGTTATCTTCCAACATCCATGCACCTCATGGTCTCTACACAACAGTCAAGCATCGTTCTGTTATATACCTTTCTACTGTTTCATGCCTTCTCTGCGAACATTATATAATCCATCTAGCCATGGCAACCTCTCTATCTTTATCTCTTCCCAATCTGCCTATTTCTCACTGTGTTCTAGTCACGCTGACAACTGCTATCCTTGACATGTCATCCCCGGGCCTGGACCATTGTCCTTATACCACCTTCTCAACCTCCCAACCCCTTCTTCACCTAGGATGATTGCTCCTACACTTCATTCAGTTGTCCCTTAAATGAACCTACTCAGAGTTGGCATCCCTCACTCACCTACCTAAAATATCATTGCTGTCTTCTTAGCCAGTTTCGTTTGTCTTCAAAGCATTTATCTCCATATGAAGTTAGTACATATATATTTGCTTATTGTTTCTATCCTCAGTAGATTGAAAGCTCTATGATACTGTTCCGTCTATAAAGATATTGTTCTGGTGCTCAACAAATGTTGGTTGAATGTCTAATGGAATGAGTCAAATAATGCTTTGGTATCCTTGTATTAAAAAAAAAAAACACTAAAGAACTAAACACTTTCCTTGATCCTTATATACCTGTCCATCTCCAATCCCATTTCTCTGTTCCTTTTAAAGCAAAACTTCTAAAATATTGTCTACATATACTGTCACCTCCTCATTACTCATTGTTTTCTTCAATTTGTTGTTTTCCCATAATGCTTCAGAAATTGCTTTTGTTAGTGGTGTTCTGAATCTAGGCATTGCTGCTTCCAATGGTTACATTCTCATCTTACTGGATCTCTGAGTAGCTTTAAGCAGTTTTCCATTTTCTTCTTGAAATTACGTCCTAACTTGGCTTCCCCTCCCCCTGCTAGCCATTGCTTGATCCATTAGCTGTCCTTCATTATAGGACCTCAGCATATTGAGAATTTTTCATGGTGTGTTGTAGGCCCTCTCCTCTGTGTGTGTGTGTTTGTTTATGCCAAGTACCATTGATTACTCCCCAAGTTAATCTCCAAAACTGAGCTCTTCTGAGTGCCAGGCCCTACATCAGCCTGCCTCCTTGACATCTGTTGGGTGTGTCATGTCCAAGGAGGAAGTCTAGATTTGCTTCCATGTCCCATATACCCCCTCCTGCCTCTTTACCCCATGTCTTTGCCATCTCAGTAGATGGTACCACCACCCTCCCAATTTCTAGCATCAGAAATGTTACATACGTGTGCTGGATGTCATCCTTGGTTTCTCCTTCATTATCTTCCCTCCCTCTAGTACTTTCAGTTTTACCTTCAAAATGATTTTGAATTTGTCTTCTCTCTCTCCACTTAAGTCAATCTTGTCACCTGGTTTCAACCGGAGTCACTAA